ACACTTTCTATAAATACACCAACTGTTACTGAAGTGATGAGACTTGAAGGTGTACTATACACAATAACACTTTCTATAAATACACCAACTGTTACTGAAGTGATGAGACTTGAAGGTGTACTATACACAATAACACTTTCTATAAATACACCAACTGTTACTGAAGTGATGAGACTTGAAGGTGTACTATACACAATAACACTTTCTATAAATACACCAACTGTTACTGAAGTGATGAGACTTGAAGGTGTACTATACACAATAACACTTTTTATAAATACACCAACTGTTACTGAAGTGATCAATATTGAAGGTGTACTATAGACACTAACACTTTTTATAAATACACCAACTGTTACTGAAGTGATCAATATTGAAGGTGTACTATAGACACTAACATTTCCTATAAATACACCAACTGTTACTGAAGTGATCAATCTTGAAGATGTACTATAGACACTAACACTTTCTATAAATACACCAACTGTTACTGAAGTGATCAATCTTGAAGATGTACTATAGACAATAACACTTTCTATAAATACACCAACTGTTACTGAAGTGATCAATCTTGAAGGTGTACTATACACACTAACACTTTCTATAAATACACCAACTGTTACTGAAGTGATGAAACTTGAAGTTGTACTATGTAAATTATTTTTATTACATATATATATGTGTGTGTGCCTTTTGTTTGTTACAATTTTATGAAACGAGTGAAAAATATAAAATAATGTAATTCTCTTTGGGTCAACTTTTTTCTGGATGGAGGGGGGGATTGTTCTTGCTACAATGACACCTTAAATGACGCATTAGTTGTGAGTTGCGCGAGAAAGTGAGAGACAGTGACGTTCAGGCGTAGCTGTTCACATATTAGACCAGAAGGAACGCAACCGACAGTAACAGCCGCCGCTTAAGCGTCCAGTATGAACAGAATAACGTCTCGAACCTATAGCGGTTCATTCCATAGCCTGATTATCTAATTCCTAAGATATATCCGCCCCATAATTTTACACTTTCTCTTCTATATCTTCATTTTTTTTTATAATTTTTTATAAAAACGTCACTTAGAATGTTGTTTCAGAAGTAGTCACTTCTCATAAAGTACAACCAATGATGACACGCTGAAGATGGTTGAACTTTTCTCTTTGAGAAACATTTATTTTATGTGTATTTTACATATATTTGATCTGGGAGACATGTCGTATCAACTGCAGACAACCTTGTTTGATTTGAGACATCAACATTCGTGTTTTCGTAAATATCATAATGAATGATTAGACTTTACCTGAAATAACCTGTTGAAACACGATAAACATATTTATTATATGTAGTCGTGTTTTTAGTTCAACTCTACAATCATCACGAACCTACAGTTAAATAGGTTTTACAGAATACTAACTTATGCCTTTGAATTATTCAGCAACAACAAGACGTATAGCATACTAAAGACAATGGGTTTAATATTTATTAAGTATTCTACGAAGGAATATAATGATAAAGTATATAAAAGTTCATGTATTAATTTACTTGCAATATCAGGAAATAATACTGAACATATACAAAATAAGAGTAACAGTCAATTCCTGCTAAAATTAAAACCTTCAGGAATATTTCTAATGTGTATGAAATCAGATGGTCACAATTTAATTCATTTCTTGTTTATTGTTTATCTGAACAAGTATTTATTTCCAGAGAATTTGATAAACAAAGCTATTTCAGTTTTTCTTCTCTCGCTATAACTTACCCGTTTTCCAAATCGCTATTTAATCAATACTCACCTTTACTCAACACCAGTAACCTATTGTTGTGCACTTTCTTTAAGAATGTTTAAACAACTCAATTTATCCAATTATGTACAAACTGCCCTGTGTCGGCTAAC